TAATAATGAATTATTGTGATGTTAAATAGACAATGTTAGCTATCAAAGAGCGACGTTGTTTTTCATTTGGACCTTCGTCTTCAAGGCAAAGCCTATACCATCCTAGCTAGTCTAGGCCTAGAGTAGGATAAGGCTAGCGCGACATGCGGACGTTGGTACGAGTAGATTAGTCTACAAACGACGCCTAAAGTAATTGATTTTACCCGGCAGAACGAAAGAAGGAAACTCCGCTTTTCAGTCGTCTTAGGCGCTCGTTTTTTGACAAACAATGACCTTTCAGAGGTCAAATTGCTGTCAAGAATATGAATTGGCTGCTTCGCAGCAAAAATTGAATTTTAGGCCCAATTAAAAAATTATTAGTTTATCATCCTCACGCACGTCTTCTATGGTACCGAAAAAAAAATATTTTTATGTTTTTTTGGTTTTTTTTTCATTTTTTCCAATAAATAGTTAGATATTGTTTGTATTATCTTAATAATGTTTTACTTTGAATATCACCCAGCCTAGCTAGGGTGATAAACTAATATTTTTTATAGGGCCTATAATAATACTTTTTCTTTAAAAAAGTACCAAAAAAAAAATAATACAAATACATGATTGTACTTCAAATACATGGTGAACGAGATATAAAGACAAAAAAATGAGAAGGAACAGTAATGTGAAGTCAGAAGCATTATCTTCTTAAAATTACATTATATTACAAAAATGAGGAGGACTAATTGCTAAAATAATACAGTATGCTATTACAATTGAATAAGAAAGACAGAGTAGTTTTTCTAATAAATTGAAACATGCTGAATAGCGATTAATCGTTAGCAGGCTGCAGTTGACACAAGAATGGCATGGCATCAATAAAACAAATGAATACCTCCTATTTAAACATACTGATAAAGCACAAAGTTTATGAAATTACTTTATATGTCAGAAATAGTTGATGTATTTAAGAAATACATTTTTTAAAATACTGTGAATCTCACATTGAATTAGTATCACGCTGTGAGAAAGTTATTAAACAAATTGCAATGGATCTTTTAGTCTTTCCCAAGGTAGTTATTGACAAATCCCATGTTCATGTTCCACGCTGAACATGAATTGACAACTTTCCAGCAAAGCTCATCAAATCATGATTTCTTCCTCTCATGTCCACATGTGGCTTCTTTGCGGTCCCTCCACATCAGGGAGGATGCGGGCAAGGTCGGCATCATTTGAAGTGCAGAACGAGCTGAATCATACATGAGTACAAAGTGTCCATCATGTTCTTCTACAGCAAGTTAAGGAGCTGTAACCTTGTGGTTGAAGTGCCCATCTTCGAATCACAAGAGCCTGGGTTTATTCTTGGAAAAAAATTGTCACAACTCTCCAAGCTCCATAACAAGATTAGGTCACTTCAACAAGGGTCAAAGTTCACAAAAGTTAGCATTGCTTGATAGTTAAATATTGCGTAAAATTTAAAGAGCACTTCACTTTATATAATGGAAATGATACGGGGAGCACTTCAGGGGAGCACTTCACTTTATATAATGTAAATGATACGGGAGACCCATGGGGGGAGGGAGAGAATGCGCTGGAGAAGGGTGGTGAAGGGTACCTTATACCCGAAAATAGAAAATCCAATTTAATGAAGTCAGTGCAAAAAGATGAAACTTTTACTCAATTCTTGTTCTTATTTAAAAATTCAGAATTGACAAAATTCAGACCAGGAGATCGTATGAGAATTTGGGAGACTCCTAATTGGCCGACATACTGTATTAGGGTGGAAGTGAATTTTTGCAAGACACGTCCAAGTTAATGTATTTATAGCTAAACTTGTTCAGATCACAGTAGTATATAATTCGTATTTATTATCAAAATGCTTAAAGATTCCACAATTTTAATAAAGAATTTCACATATTTGACAGTGTTTAAATTAAATTTATTTAATTGTTTATGACAGATGACATCTTTAGGAATAATAAAGTAATCAAACATTGATGATTAAATGACAAGAAACCATCAAATTACACCGCCACTTCAAATAAACCATTGATCTGTCCTCAAAGTTCATCAACAAATATCGGTCTCTTATTAAGTTAAAAAAAACTCTTGGACAAAGGGGAAATGACAGTTAACTCAGAGTGGCGGAAGATGACCGCTGTGTTTCTGCAATAGCCAGACACCTCTGGTGCAGGAGAAGTACTGCTTAGTACATCCTTGAACCTCTCACCACAGCACCCTCAGCCGCTGGACTTTCTGACAGCTTCAAGTAGACGGGCTCAATCAGGATTACCCTGCCTCAGATGATCCTGTCACTAAATATTGTATCAAAAGTTGAATAAAAAAAAGAAGAATGAAGAAATTCATAAACATGCTAATCAGATTGGAGTCAGATGCAGAGATGAATAAATATCTATAATCACATGCTATTTGCAGCTCTCTAAGCTGACTGGTTTATAAACAATTACGAGAAGGGGCATACAGGTCGTTGAAACATGGGGCATGATGATTGATATGCTTCTAGGAATACAGATGGAGAGACCTCGTCAATTTTAATAATCTCTTTTGAAATATTTTCTGTATTTATATATTCAATCAATATTTCATAGGGTTAACTGATTCTAGTTTGAAAGCTGTCTTGGATCAACTCTGCCACATACACAAAGCTGATTTGATGGGAGGGGGACAGTAAGGTCCTGAGAGGAAGCCTTGGTAAGGGGGTACAGGGGAAATAAGCCCCTTAGCCCTCATAGAAACTGGGTAACTTCAGACACTTTTTTAGAAGGTATTATCCCGAAGATTTAAAAAAAAATTGTTTGGTCCAATGGGGGCTTAACCCTTGTAATCTCCTGCCTCTGAGCTGTATTACAGTATGACCTAGTGACTCACTGTTCCTTCTACCACCACCATGTTTGTACACCTCAAGTGTTTTTACCTTTAATTTGCATTATTACCGCTAACACCATTTAGTACCACACTGTTGAAAATCCAATTTAATTTAAGGACAACTTAGTATATAACACGAATACACTGAAGCTTTCAACAATAATAACATACTGTACAATGTAATTATTTCCTATAAACTGATAAAGAATATTAAACCTCCCCACCTCCTTCCCACCCCAAAGAAAAAAACATTTCTACATACTTGGTTGCCATGGTTACTTGTAAGTATACATATAGCATAAGCAAAATTAAATATAAAAAATTACCTTTAGATAAAATTCAGCTAAATATGCCTGCCAACTTGTTGCAGTGTTTGTTAGCAATCTATCTGTCTGTGTTTGACATCCGACGACGTCATCTCCTAAAGAAATACGTATCTGAAATTGTAGAAAACAAGCAATATATAAAATTACTCTGTCACGTTTAGCTAAACAGGATACTTGGTAAATCTAGAATTTAGTATCAACAAACACCAAACAATTCACTCTTTTCTATACACCCTTTGGCCAGGTGAATGTGTAAAGGAAGTACTGTATGTTGTATTAATTGCCACCCTAACCAATAAATTATAATCAGTTTTGCAAAGTGCTGCCAGCCAGTCCTTTAATCCACTTGCAAAATTAGGAGACAGAAATTAAGAAAATATACAAATATTTAAAGTACAACTCTTAGTGTAAACTAACTGCTATTAAGTCAATTTTTAATATTATAAAAAAAAAATAATATCAATAATAACAATAATAAAAAATAATAATAAAGGTATAGAAATCTCATACTGAAACTTAGTATTACTGAGTAATGTTCAGGAATGCTGAACTGACCAAATGGACAGGTCATGTACTAAGTGGACACTAACAGACTAAGCTGTGCAGTATTAGACCCCACGTCGCTGGATAACTAAAAACGAAGTCCAATTTTCAATTCAAATTAGGGTTTTCCACTTTCTCTTTTAATAAATCACTTACTTCACCCCTTTTTAGAATGAATTATCTTCTTTATTTACGAAAACAACGCTAAATGTATTAAGAACACGACCAATCCAAAAAATCAGCGGTCTGAAGAATTTCTCTGCTGGGACTGGCATGTGGCAACAATGCATATCACATACTGCATCATCAATATCATTTTTGCATTTCTCTATAGTTTTTTTTTCACATCCACAATGGGGATACCATATACTTTAACAGACAAAAAGCAGTGAAAAAGTAACGAAGTCCCACAAGCTTTGAATCAACCAATCAACAGAGCCAATAGTAATCCCCTACATCTTAAACAACATGCAGAGGATAAACTTGTGATCTGGTAAGGATTATCAAAGATGATCATCATTTATCATGAAACTGATGCGAGAGCAGTTCAGTTTTGAATTTGTTCTATGCGTACCCTGTTGATCTTGTGTTAAGGCAATGGAGTGATTAAGCACAATCAACATAATATATGTTATACTGACAGAATTATGGCATGGATTTACAAAACTGACACTTGTGTACAGATACAAGTTGTTTTTTGCCATCACTATCAATATTGTGTTGCCATTAAAGATATATTGTCTTTGTTTAGCACAAGTAAATATTGAAATTTTGCTTATTTTTTAAGTTATTAGCATTCAATTAATCATTAGAATAAATTTTGAACAGGAATGTAAAATCAAATGTTGTTTTCTTAAATTACATTTACATTAAAAAAATTAGTAGGACTAATTGCTGAAATACTATAGTATTCCACTCCAATTGAATAAGGAACACGGAGAAGCTTTTCCAATAAACTGAAACTTAGTTGAATCCGCGATTAATGGTTAGCAGGCTTTGTAATTGATTGAAGATTGATCCTTACAAATTATGTGATATAAATACTGTTTCTATATTCTTTTTATTATAAACATTTGTAGTAAAATCTAAGTATATCAGCAAAATTGAAGTGTTTTGACCTTGCTTTGGAGATTGATTACTTATTTTATCCTTTTAAATGACATTCTATGTTTAGATTGATTTATCTTAGTGTTTGTTCAGAATTTAATAAATAAGATATTAAAGGTATTGAGAATATATCATGTGATGAGAGATTCGCATCATGTGATATACCTATTCACAATACATGCAAGTCATGTGATTAGCCCGCCTCATGATTAGCTAATCATGTGAATAGCGAGTCACATGATGAGGTAGTCATGTGATTAACTAGTCACATGACTAGCCAGCCATGTGACATGCTAATATCGTGCATTTTCTTAACTAGTTATTCTGTTACCAACCTACAGTAGCTTGTGTATTGAGCAGGATTAGAGTGGAGGAGCTGTGTAGCTCACCAGTTAAGTTACTTGCCTTTCCGATCTTCAAATTACCATCTTTTTTTTTATAGGACTAAAAAGTTTTAAAAACTCTTCTCACTAAAACATACTGAGAATATAGTTTATAGATCATTTAATGAATACTTGTGGGATAAGTTATTTTTTTGTTTAATTAATTTTTAAAATGTTTAGAATTCAATAGAATAGTCCTACAACAGTAAACTTGTCATAATAATAATCACAATATCTACTGCAATCTTGACAAAATACAGTTGAATACCACTGACGATAGAAGTAAAATATAAAAAACCATTTAACTAAAATATAGAAAAAAGGTCAATTCCCTAAACATTGTTTCCTTTGCGACAAACTGCAACCAATTCCAATCAGTCGTTTCCATGGTAGTGAAAGATGATGTTTTCCATTAGACTAGGAAGCAATTTATACATTCAATGGAGGAGTGCACAACCAATAAATACAGATTAATTACTACTTAGAAAACACTACTTTGTCAGGCAAATAGCTGTGTTGATTAATACACCGAGTTGGTTGATCTCTTTGCTGTTTGTAAGGTAACACTGACGCTAAGTATATTATATCATATGATGCACCGTCCTTCTCAAGTACCATAATGCTAGTCTTACAGAATTCCGCCATGACATTTTACAAATCTCTCTAAAAATGACATGCTGCAAAAAAGCTGCTGGAACTGTCTCTAGACATCCTAAAAATCTTAACTTGAAACATCAAGGGTTTTTAAATGACTGTAATTAACACCAAAAACTATCGGAACACCATCGGAATAAAATTAAACCATACAGTATGATACTAAGGATGTAGTATCTGTGATGGAACTAATAATGTACTTAGTATTAGGTCACTAAAATTTGGTTTGGTTTCAATACTTTATAACAATTAAATATAACTTTTTTTTACATTTTTATTGGGCAGATTTTAAACTAGTAAATAGTACATGTAGTGGAACTATAGTAGGGTGGGTAAGATATTTGCCTTCATATTCCAGGGTCCTGGAACACAATTCACCCCCAAATTTGACACCTCTCTAAGACCTCTTCAATCAAGACTACTTTTTTTTAAGTATTACAATCTTAAATCTACAAAGCTAGTCCTCTGTTAAAGACCAAACCCCAAGACCACCCCACAATTTCAGGCCCCAAATGTGGTCTCAAATTATTGAGGGGAAGGAAAGGGGTGAACTGAACTCCTTTCTCTCAATTTAGAAGAGCTCCACTGCCTAATCCTCCTTCATTGTTAGATTAATAAACAAGATGGTTACTGAACCAATGTGAATAATATATAAATAAATAAATAAATAAATATCATCAGACATCCTTACCTAACTATTTATCAACAACAAACATCCAACATACACACTATTGGTTATACAGTATCTATAGCATCCCAACTATTAGCGATCAGGAAATTTCATCACAATTACTGGCCCCAGGTCTTAACCAACCACATTAGCTTCTGATCTTGGATGCATTATTGGGAAATGTTTCCCTGGCCAAGAATCCTAAATTCACATGTCCCCCGTGGCTAATCTCAGCGTTGCATTTTCCTCCCACAATCCTCCTGGAAATGTGACAACTTCGTGATAAATCTTAAAAAGTAGGGCAGAAGACAACCACGTCAATTAACGAGTTTCAACACACTTTCAACAATAACAAAATTACCAACATACTGGTAAATGTCAATTCTTTTTTCACTGGATAAATTACAAACAAAATTATGAAAACTTTATCTCTTTTTTGTCTTCACTTCATTTCTAGTTTCTATTGACTGACTCACTGTATTTGGTGTAATTTCAAAGCATAACTCCATTCATTCAAGAAATATGCAAAATAAAACAAATTTTTCAAAAAGTACATTTAAGAAAAATAAAATCAAAGGATAAATCATGAAACTTAAAATTGAATTTGTTTTCAATGGAATCATCTTCTATTTTTTTGTATTCCACCAGAATTGGTATTAGATCCAGATATTTTGTTAACAATAATAATAAACAAATGTTAACATAAATGAAAGATCATAATAAAATGATTAAATATTGACTACTTTCATTTGAATCACAAATTAATACTTAAGCAATCTTAACAATTGACTTCATTCAAATATTATATATTCACTGAGAAATAGATGAGATGACAGAATAATACAAGTTACTGATTGAGAGATATGAACTTTGAATTAAACTGAAGCATTTATAATTTTGGATAGAAACCTAAATACATACTAACCAGAAGGAAATGAGTGAATCACATCAAAAAGCAATATCAAATTTATTTGTCCCTCAGGAAATTACATAGAAAATGCATTTCACATATAATTAGGTATTAAAATACATTTAAGTTTTTTTTTTTTAAATGACATGAATATATGTTTCTAGAGGCCTACTGAAAGCGTGTTTATAAATGTGTAATAAATATATTTGATATTAAGATTTTTAGTAAGTTTTGTCAAGTATAAATTTATGACAATCAACATGGTTTGGCACAGTAGTAATGGTTTAGTTTCCCAAGCCTCGAATTCAGGGTTTAAATCCGTCGCTGTATTTTTTTCTTTTTGCATGTGTCCTCGAGCGTGTACATCATTCACATTGCTTTTCTCCACCCGGAAGTTCTGTGCGTGGGTGGGTACCTGGTGGGATGCTTGCACTGCACCAAATGTGGACTCAATGACCAGTGAAAAATAAATGCTTAGTATTTAGTAAGCAAAAGAAAAGGTGCTACATGAATGCTCACTAATATTCATTGGATTGGATTGGATTTATTCGGTGTAAACACCTAGGATAGCCCACGAAAGTCTAGAAGAAGACTTATTTCCAGTGGGGTCCTTCTGGTGGTGATTGGGCAGTACACTGGGAGACAATCCCCTACTCTTTTCCGAAGAGTGTACTGCGTTCTTTAATGCACACGGGACCAACGGCTTAAATGTCTCATCCGAAAGGCTTGCGCTATTGTAACTTGTATTTCAGCCCCCAGCTGAAATACAAGGAGAGGCAGCGATGGGAATTGAACCGGGGACCTAAAGATCTTCACAGTTCAGCGCACACACAGTGGCTACCTG